AGTTAGTGTAATGGCTATGTCGCTGGACTCCCATGTAGTTGACTGCGGTTCGCGTCCTGGACTTGGTGGCTTAAAACATGCCAGGCGAAGGGAACCAGCAGTTAGTGTAATGGCTATGTCGCTGGACTCCCATGTAGTTGACTGCGGTTCGCGTCCTGGACTTGGTGGCTTAAAACATGCCAGGCGAAGGGAACCAGCAGTTAGTGTAATGGCTATGTCGCTGGACTCCCATGTAGTTGACTGCGGTTCGCGTCCTGGACTTGGTGGCTTAAAACATGCCAGGCGAAGGGAACCAGCAGTTAGTGTAATGGCTATGTCGCTGGACTCCCATGTAGTTGACTGCGGTTCGCGTCCTGGACTTGGTGGCTTAAAACATGCCAGGCGAAGGGAACCAGCAGTTAGTGTAATGGCTATGTCGCTGGACTCCCATGTAGTTGACTGCGGTTCGCGTCCTGGACTTGGTGGCTTAAAACATGCCAGGCGAAGGGAACCAGCAGTTAGTGTAATGGCTATGTCGCTGGACTCCCATGTAGTTGACTGCGGTTCGCGTCCTGGACTTGGTGGCTTAAAACATGCCAGGCGAAGGGAACCAGCAGTTAGTGTAATGGCTATGTCGCTGGACTCCCATGTAGTTGACTGCGGTTCGCGTCCTGGACTTGGTGGCTTAAAACATGCCAGGCGAAGGGAACCAGCAGTTAGTGTAATGGCTATGTCGCTGGACTCCCATGTAGTTGACTGCGGTTCGCGTCCTGGACTTGGTGGCTTAAAACATGCCAGGCGAAGGGAACCAGCAGTTAGTGTAATGGCTATGTCGCTGGACTCCCATGTAGTCAACCACGGTTTGCATCCCGGACCCAGTGGCTTAAACCTCATGCTGGCGCGTGCGTGCGTGCCCAAGATCCTGAGAGGAGAATGGAGGAGAAGGGACTGCGGCGTGGCCGTTCCCCCTAGGTGGTGATTTCTCACTTTCTATCTCTCTGTCTATCTCTGTCTTTCTGGCGAGCGCATGCACCCTATAGCAAAAAAAAAAAAAACCTCCAAAAAAAAAAAAAAGAAAAAGAAAATATTATCCACTTATGATGATTTGGAGGTATTTCATAATGTAACAAAAAAAAAAAAAGAAGGTACCCTGGAAACAGTTTTTCTGCATTTCTATACTGGTATACTGGTACCACTTAACTGTGTGACATCAGGTAAGTAATTTAACCTCTCTCTACCTTACAGTCCTCATCTGTGAAATAAGGATAACGATGGTTCCCACCTCAAAGGACTATTGTGACAATTAGAAAAATAATAGTGCACATAAAGAAACAGCAGTGAGGGGCCAGTGGTGTAGCAAAAGCACACCCGCCAGTGCTGATCCTACCTGGGAAGGTCCCAAGTTCACATCTCCAGCCACAGGGCATGTGTGTGTGCCCATGATTCACGCTAGCTGTGGCTGAGAGTGGAATGCTGTGCTGTGCAGACACTCTTGGGAGGGCCTATTTCTCTAGGTCTTTCTGTCTCTTTTTTTCTCTAAATTCTGTCTCTTTCTCAAGGAAGGAATAGAAGAAAATGATAATTTTTTTTTTTAAAAAAAGGAGAAAAGACATCAGTGACTGAAAGGAAATGTTTGATACGTGGTAGCTATCATTATTGTTGACATTCTGCAGGTAATGTAATGATCTCTAAAGATTCCTTTGAATAGGACACTTTAGAGGAGCTAGAAGTTTGGCATGGTGGTTAAGAGCTCTGGACTCCCACATGGCTGACCACAGTTCGAGTCCCAGACCTAGCGACTTGCTTTCTCTCTTTCTCTCTCTGTTCCTCTCTGGGCAAATTTAAATAAATAAATAAATAAATAGAGTGTGACATCAGGTAAGTAATTTAACCTCTCTCTACCTTACAGTCCTCATCTGTGAAATAAGGATAACGATGGTTCCCACCTCAAAGGACTATTGTGACAATTAGAAAAATAATAGTGCACATAAAGAAACAGCAGTGAGGGGCCAGTGGTGTAGCAAAAGCACACCCGCCAGTGCTGATCCTACCTGGGAAGGTCCCAAGTTCACATCTCCAGCCACAGGGCATGTGTGTGTGCCCATGATTCACGCTAGCTGTGGCTGAGAGTGGAATGCTGTGCTGTGCAGACACTCTTGGGAGGGCCTATTTCTCTAGGTCTTTCTGTCTCTTTTTTTCTCTAAATTCTGTCTCTTTCTCAAGGAAGGAATAGAAGAAAATGATAATTTTTTTTTTTAAAAAAAGGAGAAAAGACATCAGTGACTGAAAGGAAATGTTTGATACGTGGTAGCTATCATTATTGTTGACATTCTGCAGGTAATGTAATGATCTCTAAAGATTCCTTTGAATAGGACACTTTAGAGGAGCTAGAAGTTTGGCATGGTGGTTAAGAGCTCTGGACTCCCACATGGCTGACCACAGTTCGAGTCCCAGACCTAGCGACTTGCTTTCTCTCTTTCTCTCTCTGTTCCTCTCTGGGCAAATTTAAATAAATAAATAAATAAATAGAGTTAAATGAAATAATTCTTAAAAAAATAATAATAATACACTTCAGAGCAGCCCACAATCATTTGCCCACTAGAGCCTCCACAAGAGAAGGCAGGGTGAGGCTGGAGAGGAGGATCACAGAAGTCTGGAGAGCAGTGCAAGGAATGTGGTGCTCAGAGCACAGCACGGAAGCAGGGTATTCACTAGACTCAGGGTAATGCAAAAGTCACGAAGTCAAAATAGTTTCATATAAGAAAACACGCAATCTAGGCACCATCCCTAGTTCCAAATTATTTTCCCCTTTTGGAGGGCACAGTTATATATGATTTAACCTATGGGCTCGTAGACCTCCCCTTCTACCACAAGTGAGCAGAGAGGGTAGGTTTACAACAATCCTATTGTCTCATTCGCTGTTTTACTTGTGTTCCTAAAAAGAATGACACACAGATTTCACCTTGACCCTTTTAATCCAGCTCTGCCCGGTGAAACTTCCTGCAGTGGCAATCATGTCTATACTGACTGACCTACACAGTAGTTACAAGTCCCATGTGGTGAGTGAGCTCTCCAAATGTGACTAGCACAACTGAGGAACTGACTTTTGCATTTTATTTCATTCTAATTGGTTTTAATTTGAAGAGTCTTACGTGGTTAGCAGCTACCATCCTGGACAGTGCAATCAGTTGGGAATAGCTGTCTGCAGCACTGTATTAAAAAGGATCCAAAGTGTGGGACCAACAGATGGTGTCATGGTTACATCGCTGGACTCCCATGTAATCGACCATGGTTCAAGCCCTGGACCGGGCAGCTTAAAACTGGCACTAGGTGCACATGCATGCATGCCCAAAATCCCAAGAGGAGAATGGAGGAGAAGGGTTGTGGCATGACCTTGCCCCTGGGGAGTGACTTCTCACTTTCTGTCTCTCTGGTGAACCCATGTACCACATAGCAAAAATATCTCTAAAAACGAAAAGGTAATAAATAGGAAAAGAGAAAAAAGAAAAGGATCCAAGGTGAATCTGGGCCTATGAG